AGAAGCTATGTGAAGGCTTTGGAAATATACTTTGTGTGGAAAGGGAAAGCATCTATAATCTTAGGATCACTGTCACCATCCCCGCTTGGGGTGCTGGGAGTCAGTGGATTAGACCTGGGGCATGTGTGTGTGCGTGTGTGTGAGAAACAGAAAGACAGAGACAGAGACAATGTCTCTTCTCCACCTCTGGCAGTCCAGAGCCTAGACTGGGAAACCTTTGAGCAATATTGTGCCTGGCAGCTCTTCCTGGCCCACAACATCCCCCTGGAGACCATAATCCCCATCCTGCAGCACCTCAAATACAAGGGTGAGTAGGGCAGGGCAGTAGGCAGGGAGCACGGAGTGTGGGCAGAGGGCGGTGTGATCTGGCTGGGGCAAGGCCGAGGCCTCCCAAGCAGCTTGGGTCCCCCCACTCCTTCCCCGCTGAAGCCCGGAGGAGCCGGCTGGCTGGCAGCTCCTGCTTTGGATGAGACTCGCAGGCCCGCTAGGAGCTGGGCACAGGGCTGGGGCAGGTGGCGCGGGGCCGGGCACTGCTCGCCCTGGCTCCTTTGTCGAGACTGTCCCTGCTCCCTCCAGCAGTCGTTGGCTGGGGGATGGATGGCGTGCAGGATTTCCTCCTGGAATTATGACCTCCTCTCTCCCGCAGAGCACCCAGAGGCCCTGTCCTGCCTGCTCCTTCAGCTCCGAAGAGAGAAGTGAGTCCCCCCCAGCACCTCTTCAGCTCCCAATCCCAACCCTCGAAATGCTGCCGGAAGAGGCTTTCTGCCCTCTTTGGCCATGTTTTTTGTATTGTTGACATCTGTCTGCTTTTTCTGCCCTTCCCCCAAAGTGCTTACAAATAAGCGGCTCCCCTGGGATCTGGGCTTCCTCTGGACTTTACCCCCCTGCCCACAAGGAGCTGCCCTCGGAGGTGGGGACCGGACATCCCTGTTTCCTGCCGCCACAGCAGTTCTAATCCCCGGTGGCGCTCCTGCTTCCCTCCCCCACTCTCCTGAGGCTACACCCCCCCACCCCCCACTAACCCAAGAGAAGGGGGGGTCAGAGTAGGGGGTCACACCGCCCCGGCTTCCTCAGCCTACAGGGGGCAGCCCTGCCCCTGCCAGGGGTGGGGAGCACAGGGAGAAGAGGCAGAGGGCCCGCCCTCCACCAGGCACGTTTCCAGCAGCTCGGGCAACAGCTGCATGTCTTTTCTTTTCTACCTTCTCGCCTGCCTTTCACCTTTTCTTCTCTCCTGCCTGAGAGACTAGAAATGGTAGTGTCCTAAAGGAGGTGGAAGGTTGCGGGGCTGTGACTCCCCAGACGCCTTCCCTGTGCTCCGCTCGGGGTGGCTCTTCGCTTTCCCCAGGGGCGGGGCAGGGCGTGGCCACACACCACATGCTCCACCTCGTGCCTCCCTGGCCCTCTTCCAACTGCTGTGAGCTCCAGGGGAGACTTGCCGGCCCCCTTCCCAACGCCTGCACACGCACGCACCTTCCACTGCCACAGAAACTGAACAATCTCGCTTCTTGTCTCCTGGCTTCCTCAAAGGATGGAAGCAGGCATTCCTTGGCCCAAAGAACAGAGGGAGACGGATGTGAGAACAGGAAACTACAGCGAGATGCGGGTGGGCTGGGGTAGAAGGCTGAGGTTTGGAAGAGAGCCAGCGGTTGCCCCGGCCAGCTGTGTGAGCAGGTGCCCACCGCCGCATCCCGCCCTGCCCCAGGCCCAGTGAGGAGATGGTGAAGATGGTGCTGAGCCGGCCCTGCCACCCTGACGACCAGTTCACCACCAGCATCCTGCGGCACTGGTGCATGAAGCACGACGAGCTGCTGGCAGAGCACATCAAGTCCCTGCTCATCAAGAACAACAGCCTCCCGCGCAAGAGGCAGAGGTGGGATGGGCCTGTGGGGATCGTCCGGGCCGGCGCCGGCAGGGCGGGGAGGGCGGCTCTGCCTGGTTGGCAGGCGACATCTAGTGGTCTGAGGCGGCACGCAGGTCCGCCGCGGCTCCGCGCCCTTTTCCCAGAGCCCTGCGGCAGGTCCCCTTGCCGGCCTACCCCTGCCGGCCCTGCTGTCCCTGCCCCCGTGGAGGAGGGGGTCTTGCCCTCTGGCCGCTCCCGGCTGGAGCGCCGACTCTGGCCCTCGCGCCTTCCCGCAGCCTGAGGAGCTCGAGCAGCAAGCTGGCCCAGCTGACCCTGGAGCAGATCCTGGAGCACCTGGACAACCTACGGCTCAACCTGACCAACACCAAGCAGAACTGTACGCCCGGGCGCCTCTGCCCTCCTGTGCCCGGTGGCCGCGCTGGCTCCGACCACCCCTGGGGGGGCGGGGGCAAGAAACAACCTTGGGTGGCGCAGCAAGCCCCCAGGCATCTCCCTGTGCCTCCCTCCCTGCTCCCCTTCCTTCTCTCTAGTTTTCAGCCAGACGCCGATTCTCCAGGCTCTGCAGCACGTCCAGGCGAGCTGCGATGAAGCCCACAAGATGAAGTGAGGCTCCGCCCTTAGGCCTGGGGGGAGGCGGCGGGCGGGGGGCCGCCGAGGCGCAGACCTAGCGGCCAGCGGCACTGTGGGCCCAAAGGGAGCACGGAGACCGAGGCATGGGAGCAGAGAAGAGGACCCGAGGTGGCCGTGGGCCAGAAGGCCGCTCCGAGCGTGCATCGATTCTGCGTTCCCTCAGGTTCAGCGACCTCTTCTCCCTGGCCGAGGAGTATGAGGACTCCTCCACCAAGCCACCCAAGAGCCGTCGGAAAGCAGCTCTGTCCAGCCCCCGAAGTCGAAAGAATGCTGCACAGCCCCCCAATGCTGAGGAAGAGTCAGGCTCCAGCAGTGCCTCGGTGAGACCCCCTATCCGTGCACAGGAGGGAAAGGAGCAGCAGGGTGCAGGTGGACTTGGGGCCAGCCTCTGCCCGGGCCAGTGCCCCCTCACGCCCCAATCTCTTCCAGGAGGAAGAAGACACAAAACCGAAACCCACCAAGAGGAAACGGAAAGGGTCCTCTGCAGTGGGTTCTGACAGTGACTGAGGCCCTCTGTTCTCTATCCTACCCCCAGCTGGACTGCCCTCCCCTCTTGGTGAATTAAAGGTTACAAGGGGCTGGGGAATAGTAGGGGAACCCTTTCCCCATCCCAGAGCGCTCCCAGCGGGAAGGCTGAGCTTCCTCCTCTGGCCCAGCCTGCGAAGCTGCCATGCAGCCCCAGCCCCTGCCCCTACTTACTTCCCAGGGGCCTTCAGCCCCATCACGCTGCTCCCACGTGTACTGGGGTTCCCACTGAAGCCAGAGGCTGTGCAAAACCTGGACTGTGGTGGAAGGCCCAGCCCCCGGCCCCCTCCCTGAGCCTCCTATCCCAGCCTCCCAAAGAGCTGCTTCAAAAGAGAAGAGAAATGGCAAAGGAGCAGCTGGCCGCAGAAGCTAGGGGAGTAGACCCAGCATGTGGGGGCCCCTTCCCACTCCCTCACCTTCAGGTCTTGATTTGTTCTGAACAGGCATTTTATAGTTGCTGTCTGTATACCAGTACAAGATGGGCATTTAACCAGTGGCATGATCTGGCTGCCCGCTCACTGTGGGGCACAGGCCGCAGGCACCCGAGAGAGAGGCACAGCCCCACCCTGTGTGGCCTGGAGGCTTGTTTGGCCTAAGGCTGGCACCTAAGCCGGGCCAGAGTCCCAGGGAGTCCCAGACACGTTCGACAGACTGGCAGATGGTCCCATTGCCTTGGTTCTGTCCTTTTTTTTTGGCAGAGATAATCGTGTTTTAAAATTTTTTAAATGACAATAAAATAAGCCAGAAGCTCTTCTGTGCCGCAGTTGCTGTCCTCATTCACCCTGTATATGTCCAGTAGTCCCCCTTAATAGGCACCGCTCTTTGTGGCTTTACAACTGCCCCTTTCCTGCTTGCCCCCCCATTCCTGTCTGGAGCAGGAGGGGCTTGGCTTTGCCCATCCTTCCTGCTGCCGCTGGTGATGGGTCAGGCACTGACCTGTCCAGGCTGAGACTGAAGGCCACACCATCTCCCTAGAGCCTGAGAACTGTCCTCTCTCCTCAAGAAACTAGGGACTTCCAAAAGCTGGTAATTGTCATACTGCAATTTAGTGAGTCTGGATGCTTGCCAGCTACTGAAGGACTAACTGGGGTAGATGCTCCCAGATCATATCTTGGAGGACAGAAGTGTGGCTGGTGGAGCTCAGATAGGAGGGAGAAGGAACCCTCTTGAGTTTGGCCACTTGCCGACATCCACGTGTACCAGCAGAAAAGAGCTCCTTGGCTATGCTTTTGTTGCTCTGCTGTCCAGGGAGGTTGGGTGGCGGGCTGGGAGAGAGAGGGTGACGTTTGGGCCGACTGCAGATCGCTCCTCCAATTCTTTTATAGAATCTAGGTTCTCCCCTCCCTCAAAGGCGCCACTCCACTAATTCCTTTAAAAATAAAACCACCAGAGGCCTCCTCTTTTCCTTCCCCTCTCCTTCCCCTAGTTTCCTGCCCCAATTAAAACCAGGATGGAAAGCATTCGCTGGCTGGCCCCAATTATTGTACCCCTGCCCACAGGGCGGGGCCTCTGCCGTGGCCCCTCCAGAAATTCGGCTGGTTGAACCTCCACCTTTCCCCTGCTTAGCAAACTGCCTGGCCCACCGTATTCCCCTGGGGTCGCTGCAGCCTCTGCTAGCTTGGAGGGAGGACACGGGTCTGGCTATCGTGCCGGGACTTGGCACAAAAGGACAGAGAGCCTTTCATTCTCTATGCAGAGTGTGCAGTGGCACCCTCGCATCACGGGTGAAAATGGGGAAGAGGGAGAGTGGGTGCGGTGCGAAAGTCCCGGCTCTCATACCGAGACTCCAGAATCCAGCCAGATGCCTAAGTCGCCCTTACGGAGAAAGAACTTAGCTGGGTCCCGACCCCGGGCCGCGGGAGGCGCGGGCACCGCCGGAACACCGCAGGGTGCGGGCCGCGCGCCTGGGGCGAGGCGGTGAGGAGCCGGGAGTGCGGGGCCGCCCCCCACGCGCCCCTCCCGGGCCTCCGCTCCCGCCGTGGGGCCGGGGCTGGGTGGGAGGGGGCGGGTGCCGCCGCGCGCGCACCCGCGGAGGAGCGGCCTAAGCGAGCGCGAGCCGCCCGCGTGTCGGAAGGCAGCGGGCGCTGCGCGCGGCTGGGGCATCATGGTCCCCCTGCTCCTCCTCCTCCTCCTCCTGCTGCTGCTGCCGCCGCTGCTGCTTCGGCCGCGCCTCTGGCCGCAGCTGCGCTGGCTCACGGCGGACTTGACCTTCGCGGTGCGCGCCCTACGCTGCAAACGGGCTCTCCGAGCGCGCGCCCTGGCCGCGGCTGCCGCCGACCCGGAAGGTCCCGAGGGGGGCTGCAGCCTGGCCTGGCGCCTCGCGCAACTGGCCCAGGAGCGCCCCGCGCACACCTTTCTCGTTCACGGCGCGCGGCGCTTCAGCTACGCGGAGGCTGAGCGGCAGAGCAACCAGGCCGCGCGCGCCTTTCTACGCGCGCGAAGCTGCGGCGCGGGAGTCGGCGCCCCGGACGCGGCGGCCGGAAGCGGCGCGGCGCGGGCCGTGCGGGAAGGGGATGGCGCGGCCCCTCTGGCACCTGGGGCCACCGTGGCGCTGCTGCTCCCCGCCTGCCCAGAGTTCCTGTGGCTCTGGTTCGGGCTGGCCAAGGCCGGCCTGTGCACGGCCTTCGTGCCCACCGCCCTGCGCCGGGGTCCCCTGCTGCACTGCCTCCGCAGCTGCGCGGCGCGCGCCCTGGTGCTGGCGCCAGGTAAGGCCGGAGCGCCAACCGACGGGGGCGGGGCCAGCGCGGAAAGGGCGTGTCGGGAGGGGGACCAGAGCGGGGGTACTCGGATGGAGGCCGAACCAGCTCCCTGGGATTCGGAAAGACTGGGGAGGGATACGATTCTCAACGTTTGTCTAGAAATGCAGCTGGGTCTTTGGTTCCCCAAGAATTTCTGAAAGTCGGGCTCCAGGTCCCAGACCCGTGATGGGATGTCGATATTCTTCAACTTCTCCCAAGAGCTGTGCGGCAGGTGGGGGGTAAGGGGTGCAAATTGGCCAAGGGGTTGGGAAGACTCCTGGGTAAGGGCCAAGCTATGCTTTCCCACCCCGCCCAGAGTTCTTGGAGTCCCTGGAGCCCGACCTGCCGGCGCTGAGAGCCATGGGGCTCCGCCTGTGGGCTGCAGGCCCTCAGACCCATCCTGCTGGAATCAGCGATTTGCTGGCTGAGGCCTCAGCGGAGGGGGATGGGCCAGTGCCAGGGTACCTGTCTGCGCCCCAGAGCCTAACGGACACGTGCTTGTACATCTTCACCTCTGGCACCACGGGTGAGGGCTGTGTACCGTACTTACCTCCCAGAAACTAAGACAGGAAGGCAGGGGGTTGGAAACAGGAACTGTGACCTCCTTAGCTCCCAGGCCACCCCTGCCAACCCCCAAAGAGGGTGCTGATCCGGGCGGCCATAACCTCTCCCACTGACCCTCCGTACTTCATTTCTCTACCTCTCTCAACTTCCCACGTTTCCAGGGCAGTCCCGCCTCCCCTCTTCTCAGCTTCAGCCTTGCGTCTGCCCTTTCTGTGGGAAAGCCAGCAGGGACAGAGAGGGAGGCAGGGCTTGGAGCGCAGCGCCTTCCCTGATCTCCCCGACCACCACCCCACAGGCCTCCCCAAGGCTGCTCGGATCAGCCACCTGAAGATCCTGCAGTGCCAGGGTTTCTACCAGCTGTGCGGCGCCCGCCAGGACGATGTGGTCTACCTCGCACTCCCACTCTACCACATGTCTGGCTCCCTGTTGGGCATTGTGGGCTGCCTGGGCCTTGGTCAGTCTCCCCCACGACCCCCACTTCAGTCCTCCAGCAAACATTTGTGAAGCACCTACCGTGGGGTGCTCACCCAGGGATGTTTCCTGAGGCCTTCAGGGTAGAGAATCCGGAGGGTGGATTCTCCAGGAGGAGGAAGCAGGGACCTGCTCGCCAGGAGCAACTTGTGCAATGGAGGGGCACCGCCCACACAGACCACGTCTGAGCAACTAGGGAGGCCGACAGCTCACAGCGCCAGGGGCAAACTGGGGGAATGGCAGTGAGTGTCAGCCCAGTGGGGAGAGAGGCCCATGGAGCTGACAGTCCAGTCTTGCGGGCAGGTACGGAGGAATGACCGTCTGGGGATGGAAAGTAGGGAAAGGGCATTAACCTCCCCAAGGCCAACCTGTCACTGCTGGAAGTGAGTATCAGAGCAGGGCCTTCCCGGTGAGCTGTACTGCAGCAAAGGCTAGTGTCTGGGAAGGAGGGGGTCAGAGTTCTCCCTGAAGCCCACAACCTCCTCTCCTTCCCGCCCCTCCCTTGCTGCTTTTGGCAGGGGCCACAGTGGTGCTGAAGTCCAGGTTCTCAGCCGGTCAGTTCTGGGAGGACTGCCAGCAGCACAGGGTGACAGTGTTCCAGTACATCGGAGAATTATGCCGATACCTTGTCAACCAGCCCCCGGTGCGTGGGCACAGACCCTGGGCAGAGCTGCGGTGCCAGGGAGGTGGGCAGGTGGCAGGTGGGAGACACTGAATCAGTTTTCTGGGAGTTGGTGGGAAGGGAGCAGGGAGAAGAGAATGGCAGGGTGGGTAGGGGGCCTGGCAGGGCAGGGCAGCTGATGCCTAGTGCGCCTGAAGGCGGTCCCCGAGGAAGGTGTTTCTGGGGAACGGGAAACAGGACTTTGCTCTGGGGAGCTGGCAGTCCAGTGTTGAAGCTCCTGCCCCTTGTCCCACTCATCTCAGAGCAAAGCTGAACGTGGACACAGGGTCCGGCTGGCGGTGGGCAGTGGGCTGCGCCCAGACACCTGGGAGCGTTTCGTGCGGCGCTTTGGGCCCCTGCAGGTGCTGGAGACTTACGGACTGACCGAGGGCAATGTGGCCACCTTCAACTACACAGGACAGCGGGGCGCCGTGGGGCGAGCATCCTGGCTTTACAAGGTGAGGAGCAGAGAGGAAACTGGAGAAGCAGGGGACCAAATGGGAGCTGGTGGGGTGGGGGCTCATGCAACTGAAATGACCCAGTGCCTGGGTCTCCCTTCCCCCAGCAAGTCTTCCCCTTCTCTTTGATTCGCTATGATGTCACCACAGGGGAACCGATCCGGGACACCCAGGGGCACTGTGTGGCCACATCTCCAGGTTTGTACTGGACTTGGAGGTGGGGGGCAGGAGGCCCCGGGTGGGCAGCCACCCCTGACCCCGGTGACTCTGCCAGGTGAGCCAGGGCTGCTGGTGGCCCCGGTGAGCCAGCAGTCTCCATTCCTGGGCTACGCTGGGGGGCCAGAGCTGGCCCAGGGGAAGCTGCTGCAGGATGTCTTCCGGCCAGGGGATGTTTTCTTCAACACCGGGGACCTGCTGGTCTGTGACAGCCAAGGCTTCCTTCGCTTCCATGATCGTACTGGAGATACCTTCAGGTGCCTGCCCACGACTGAGTCCTTTCCTGGGCATCTGACCTCTGACCTCAACTCCCTAATCTCCAGCCCCAACCCAGCACCTCATCTAAGCTCTGATCTCAGGCCTCCCGAACACTTCTTCCCGGTGACCGCCTGGCACCCTGACCTCATCCCGACCCCTCTGGCCCCTGACTCTCACTTTTGGGTCTTTGCTCTCTGACAGGTGGAAGGGGGAGAATGTAGCCACCACAGAGGTGGCAGAGACCCTGGAGGCCCTGGATTTCCTTCAGGAGGTGAACGCCTACGGAGTCGCTGTGCCAGGTGCCCGAGCATGGGAGGTGGGGGCACCTGGCCCACTGCCCTGAATGTATCACCTAGGTGCTGGGAACATGAGACCTGGGGATGGCAGCCTCCTTGGCTGACCTGCCCCACACCCACTAGGGCATGAAGGCAGGGCTGGAATGGCGGCCCTAGTTCTGCGTCCCCCCCATTCTTTGGACCTTGTGCAGCTCTACACCCATGTCTCTGAGAACTTGCCACCTTATGCCTGGCCTCGATTCCTACGGCTACAGGTAACCAGCCCCTCCTGTGACCACTCTCCCCACACCTCTGCAGCAGTCACGGCACCTGAGCCCCACAGAGGAACCCCCCTCTGAAGAGAATGGACAGTTCCTTCCCAGACATGCACTTCCTCCCCTCCATGCCCTGCGCTCCTCCTCCCAGCCTGGCTCCTTCACCCTCCGCCCTTGGCTCTGGCCTCATACTCCCTTTTCCCGGGCCTGACCCTTAGCAAAATTCAGGCAGCTCACCCGAACCACCTGGGCAGAACACCCCTTCCTTCAGCTGCCCTTGACGCCCCCTCCCAGGACTCTCTAGCCACCACAGAGACCTTCAAGCAGCAGAAGGTACGAATGGCAAAGGAGGGCTTTGACCCAAGCACGCTGTCCGATCCGCTCTACATCCTGGACCAGGCTGGGGGAGCCTACTTGCCCCTCACACCTGCCCGGTACGGGGCCCTCCTAACTGGCAACCTTCGCATCTGAGAGCCTCCATGCCGAGCGCCCAAGGCGCTACTTTGTGGGGTAGGGGCATTGCAGGCCTGTAGGGGCTGTCAGGGGCCTTTTCTATACCAGATTTGTAATCATTATTTTGTAATAAATGGGGCTGGAGCCAAGCTGGCTCTGCCTTTTTGACCTACAGTCCCCGTGTGTAGACCTGCTTTTCCACCTGCTGTTTTCTCCCGGCACAGAGCCGCAGGCACCCCTGCCCTGACTTTGTGTGGCCTGAGCTTGGGGTCCGGTCCTGGCGTTCTTCCTCTCGGGTTCTCCTTGTCCTTGGAGAACCCTGGTGACTCATGTCTGTCTGTGCTCGAGTGTGTCCCATCCCGGTTTCATTCCCTGGGTCCAGGGCCCCCACTGTTCTCCCTGGGGAGCCGGAGGACACAAAGGGCTAGCTCGAATGGCAGAGGTGGACAGAAGCCCAGAACCACGGCCTGCTGTGGCAGCCAGAAAGTCTCACAGACAGCTATAGTGGGTTGGAGAAGAGTCTTAACCAGGCCAAACAAGTTTAATTTCAGGCAAAAGGACATTCTAGATGCCCCTCTGCTCACAGCTGTCTCTGATGAGCCCAGCAGCAAGTGGGAAGGTTGGCGCCATTCAGATGTTTATAATTCTACTAGTCGTAGCCATACATTCCCAGAAGTAGCAGCCCAGAAGTAGACTGGAGCCTCAAATTCTGGGGAGGGTTTGACCGAAGCTCACCCTTGGAGCAGGGTGCATGTGTGCACGTGGCGGCGGGCAGGTTGGGGAATCTAAAGGAAAGAGGCCTCTCCCTGGCCCGGACAGGAAGTTCATCCTTTAAAAACTTGAAATGATGGAGTGCCCACTTCTACATTTTTGCTTTCCCTTGGTTGTCTTTCCCCTTCCAACTCGTCTTCCCAACCTGAGAGGTCGGGACGCGCCACACAGCCAGCCTTGGGTCCCTGTGGCTGACCTTCCTGGTCCATAACATACACCTCGCCCCACCCTCTACTGACAAACCCAATTCAGCATCACCCACAGGCGAGGTGCACACTGAGGTGTAGGTGACACCTTCACGCACTGAACTACAAATGAGAGATTTAGCTCATTGTGCTTCTAACCCACCCCAGGATGAGAGCAATAGCTGGGGTATTGCTGGAGGTGATGTGCAGTGGCATGGGGGATGGGGGGCAGCACTTGGCTGGCAGGATGCACCTCCTGCAGCTGCCCTCTGACCACTTTGACTCAGCCCAGGTGTCCCAGAAAGCTGGAGCCAAGCAGCCATCCCCTCCCTTGGAACAGCTCACAGTTCTTTCCCCACAGTCCCTGTTTCATTCAGTCTGAGTCTGTGCCGTCCCGTGTGGAAGTGCTGGCCACCTTGGCCTATCACATGCTTGAAATGTGGTTGATCTGAAGCACGAGGTGCTGCCGGTGTAAAACATACACTAGTTTCAAATACTTAGTACCCAAAAAACCTAAAAGTATTTCCTTAATAATTGTTTTACATCATTCACCTGTTGACTACTACTTTGGATGCGCTGTGTTAAATAAACTATATTAAAATAAATGTCACTCGTTTATTTTTACTTTTGTAAATGTGGCTACTAGAAAATTTAGAATTGTATATGAGCCACATTGTATCTCTGAGGAAGAGCGCTGGGCTGAATCATGTCCCCACACCTCACTCTGCAGACCTGTAAAACTGAGCATAACGTATCAGGTGCACCTGCACGGCGCCTGCTCTGGGGCCACTGCACTCCAGCAAGGACAGCTGGAGGGTGGCGTTCTGGCCAGTGGGCAGAGTCCTGGGCTGGAGACAGCACTCGGTTCTCCAGACCCAGCCTCAGCTCTGAACCAGCTTTGTCACAGCAGCATAGCTAGTAGAAACAGAGCTGCAAGACACACACTTTTGATCTAAAAGAATTAGGTTTTCCATTTGCCACAATTAAAAGTAAAAATTTTGATGAATTAGGTTTTCCTACAAAAATCCTGAAATGAAATGGAATTATGAGACAATTTGCAGACATGAAATAGGTTGCTCCTCATGTGGTGGGAAGGTGGTGGAACCGGAGAACTGTGTCACCCTGTCCTCAGATAATGGCAACGTTCTCTCTCAGCTTTGTGTCTCTGGGTTCCCTGGGGTTCCATGCGTCCTCGGGGAACCGAGGTGAAAGGGCACTGGGTTCAACAAAGCACGTGCCTGTTTTTTTCATAGCTAGTGGGCTAAAGACGTTCTTTTGTATTTTCACATGATTGAAAACATCAAGAAAGTATTTTATAACATGCATGCAAACATTGTATGAGATTCGGATTTCAGTGTCCATAAGCAGTTTTATTGAACAGGCGAGGCTCACTTCTTGATATGTCGTCCATGACCGCTTTTGTGCTTACAAAAACGGATTTGAATAGTTGTTGACAGGGACCCACGGCCTGCAAAGCCTGAAATATTTACTGTGGCCAGTGACAGAAACGCTCAGCCCTCCCCTGCTCTAGGGCGTCGGGCGGCGCAGTCTTTCCTGCGCAAAGGACAGGAAGCCCACGGCGATGCACGGAGCGGGGAAATGGTGACAGCGACGATCGGGGAGGCCCGCCGGGAGGCACCTGGTGACCGCTCCCTGTGGGAGTTAGCGGAAAGTTCCCAGCCTCGGGCGCTGTCCGAAACCACCACGTGGAGAAAGGCCGTAAGGCGCCGGCAGCTGGCTCCTTTCCAAGCACCCACCGGCCAGTAGGACCTGCCTGCCAACACCCGGCTTCCGGGCGCACGCGTGGGCTCGCGGCTCCGCTCGCGAAGTGGGTGGGACAGGCCCCCAGGAGTGGGAGGAGTGTTGCCAGTGGGCGGGGCGAGCCCCTCCGCTCCACCAGTCCCAGAAAGGCGCCTGCGCAGTTGTGCGCCGCCGTCTCTACCCACAGCCTCTCGTAAAATAGAAAAATGAGGGGAGGGCGGGGGCCAAAATATCTGGAGTTCTCCTCTTTGGGCCTCTAGGAGCCAAACGCGGCGGCAAATTTTTTTTTTAATTCAGATGCCATAAAATTCATCCTTTACAGTATAAAAGTTCCGTGTTTTTAGCATATTCATAAATTTGTGCAATCATAGCTAATGTAGAATATTTTCATCTCCCCAAAAGAAATCCCTACCCATTAAACCGCTACCAACCTTTCCATCTTCACCCCAATCCCTGGCAACCACTAATCTATATTCTGTTTCTATGAATTTGCCCACCCAGGACATTCTGTATAAATGGAATCACAGAATATGTGGCCTTTTGTGTCTGGTTTCGTTCACTTAGCATAAAATTTTCAAGCTTCATCCATGTTGTAGCATGTGTCAGTACTTTATCCCTTTTTTAGTTTAATAATTTACTGAGGTAAAATTCACATAATGTGAGATGAACTGTTTTAAAGTGAACAACTCAGTGGCATTTAGTACAATCACAGTGTTGTGAAATCACTAACTCTGGTTTCAAAACATTCCCATTATTCCAAAGTAAAAGCCCTTATCCACTCAGCAGGTTCTCCCCATTACCCTCTCCCTCCAGTTGGAAACCACCAATCTGCTGTCTGTATGGATTTATCTTTTCCGGATATTTCATATAAATGGAATGATACACTGTGTGACCTTTTGTGTGTGTACGGTGACTGCCACATAACATAATGCTTTTGAGGTTCATTCCCGTTGTGTCACATCTCAGTACTTCCATCTCTTTATGGCCAAAAAATATTCTCTTGGATGTATATACCACAATTTGTTTATCCAATCACCAGTTTGCAGAATTTGGACTGTTTCCACTTTTTTGGCTCTTTGAAAAAACTGTTAATAAATATTCATGTACAAGTTCTTCTATGGCCATGTATTTTCAGTTATTTTGGGTAACTATATATATATATTATATAACTATAACTAGGAATGGAATTGCTGGGTCTTTGAGGGACTACCAAACTATTTTCCACGGTGGCTGCACCATTTTACATTCCCACCAGCAGTGTGTGAGGGCTTGTTTTGCTACATCCTAACACTTGTTATTGTCTTTCAACTTCAGAGATCCTTTGGAGAAATACCTATTCAAATTATTTCCTTGTTTCTTGATTGGGTTATTTGCCTTGTTATTGCTGAGTTATGAGAGTTTCTTGTATTGCCAGTTCCCGATCAGATATACCGTTTGCAAATAATTTCTCTCGTTCTGTGAATTGTTTTTCGTTTCACTGATAGTGTTCTTTGAAGCACAAAGATTTTAAATTTTGATGGAGTACAGCTTATTTTTTGTACAGGGAGTATATATTGCAATAGTTAGTTTTTCCCTAAGGACAAATAAAGATAAAAAGATATGTTACATTTCACTTGGTAGTATATTTGTGAAAGGCACTGTCGATGCTATTTTTGAAAATATTTTATGGTATGTATACATATTTTTTATTATCAAATGTATATTAGAGTGGTTCAACAGTCCCCCTCCCCCTCCTCTGCCCCTATCCCCTCCCTTCCCCCTTGGTAACCACTAGTCACTTCTTGGTGTCTATGAGTCTAATGCTGTTTTGTTCTTTCTGTTTTGCTTTGTGTTTATATTCCACAAATAAGTGAGATCATATGGTATTTGTCTTTTTCCACCTGGCTTATTTCACTGAGAATAATACCCTCTAGATCCATCCATGTTGTTGCAAGTGGCAGGATTACTTTTCTTCTTATGGCTGAATAATATTCCATTGCGTATATGTACCACATCTTCTTTATCCATTCATTTACTGATGGACACTTAGGTTGCTTATGATATATGGTATAATAATAATACACAGTTTAGGAGTCACTGTTTGCAGAGCAAGAGAAAAAAAGATAAAAATATAAAATAAAATACATAAATGAAGTAAAAATCTTCCAATGTTACTAAAAAAGCCTGGAAGCAATGGACAATCTGACAACAGTGAGACCTCCTAACGCCCAGTTCCTTGGAGGAAACGTTGACTCCAGGTCTGGGGCAGGAAGTACTCAGGGTGAGCCTTGGAGCATCTCGTGCCAGAAAGCAGATCTCAAAGAATGAGATAAGAGCAAAAGGACACAGCGCCCCCCACTGCCGAATACGGGGCAATTGGAACATCGGAAAGATTCATGAATGCACTTGAAACTGGATATACAAAATGGAGCAGTTCAGAGGGATTACTAAAGTGAGGGGGGGGGGGCGCTGGGTAAGCACAGACTGCTGACTCTGCAAATGAAAGAACCAAGCGTTTGTCCTTGTGTGAACTGTTATTTCCTATGTGTATCTTTCCTGTGTGAATTGTATTTCAGGGTTGCCAAATTGTCCTAGTTGATGAGGGGAGGTTCTTCTTTACAAAAGAAGTAACTTCCAGTTACTAAGTGAGAAAGGAATGATAGAATTTGGAAACCTTTCACTCGGCATCCCCTAAAGAAAAACTGAGTCAGGCAACTACCATAGGTGAATAAGGCTATCAGATGAGCAGCTGATGGAAATCTTACAATGGACAGGTGAGGTTGTTCCCACCTGAAACCCTTAAACTTAGAATCACTGAAAGTGGGATCAGCAGACATTGTGCTCTTCCTGAGGAAAGGAACATGCCGCTCCCAGCACCGCCTCTACAGTCGTCTTCCCTAAGAGTGGATCCTGAACCTCACCAGCCTCTACAGCCAACATCTCTAGAGGGATGAACATATACAGAGGAACATATTCAGTGGAACATATTCAGTAATACCAAAGAAA